CAGTGAGCTTTGGGGTGGCCCGCCGTCACAAACATTACAATATAGCCGATTACAACAAGGCTGTATTTGGCTATGTAGCGCGCCACTGCTGGCTAAATGATACAGATATTATGCACTGAACATCGAGGGGGTTAGCGAAACAACTTAAATTATATGATACAGGCGCACAATATGCGAGCTGTCCTGATTTGGTGTATCATCGCCTTGCTCACCGCTAGTAATCATTATGGCAAATGTTTTGTTTATTCAAATAAAAAGCCTCAGAACAAGCAGTATTTTCTAGTGGAGTACCCTGCAGGATTATTTGCCCTTCAAGTATAGATGCGATGCATCGGCACTTAGCTTCAGCGACTCAGACTGGCTGGAGGACGTCTGCAGCCACCCGTTCGTTGCTCCTAATGATTTTCAAATTCGTTGTGATTTCTTGCGCTGCTGGAGCTACTGCTGCCTTTGCTGAGTACGTTTTTATCCATTTGTCTCACGGGTATGTTCGGAGTGCTTTTCAAGTTGGCTACTGTGGTACTATATTATCCCTCCAGTTCGTTCGTACGTCTCATCTATAGGCACGCCCTGAAAGTAAAAGCGGAGTTAGTCGCTGTCCATGCGACTGTCCCCTGCCATCATCGTCTTATTTCCATTTCTCTATTTACATTCTTTGTCGCTTAACGTATATGATGATTTTTCCCAATGTTGGGGCTTTTGCTCGTCTGCGATCCACTGCAACGCAACCCGAAATGGCGAAGCACAGATAGGGGCATTTCCCCATTTTCCTTCTTCTTCTAACTTTTCCGTCCAAGCCAAATGAGCATATTCTTGATCCACCCGACACCAATACTCTTGTTGCCATTGCAAAGCTGTACTTTTTTCGCAAAAAAAGTGCGATAGGGTTTCTGGGACTGTTTAGCTAAAACATAGAAGCCCGTATTTCTCAAAATCCTCATACATAGTCATTGAAAGACTATTACGCATTTATGCGTAGATACGACGATGGACACCGAAAACGCACCGGCACAAGTAATCGTTTCCTTTTGCCTAAATCCCTTCTGCTACTCAAACTGAAATTTTCTACAAGGGGCAAGCGCGGGTAATGTTGTCTGCAGCAGCCAGCAGTAGATTGTCTGCTGTGTCCTAAGGGGTGAAAACAGCCTCATTATTATGCGCTACTCTCTCACAAGTTGTCATCGCCGTATGTACTTAAGAGTAGAATCAGCTAATGGACAGAATCCGTTCGCATTATATGCGTGCTGAAAAACGAACTCACTGCTTCCACCGTTTGTTTTAGCACACGTTTGCTTCGTGAAACGTAGCCCCACAGTAGAATCGCTATCTGTGTAGGCTCCAGTATTACGTTACAAGATGTCGGCCTTAGAATTGGCGAAACTAAGTATGGCAACGATCTTAACAAAAGAGTACTAATGGAATATAGTTAAACCATAGCAGCACACTCTCTACATACACTTAGAAACGTGCATATATACTGTATAGAATGAAGAGAGCTTATAAGATGACAGAAACGTGAATTAGGAAGGGGCTACAAATGAAGGCCATTGTTCCAGTCGGGTGCTCGGGTAAGCTCTGTTATGAAACAAGGGTATATTCAGTAATATCTTGAAAGTCGTTTTCGTTGGTCGCCTATTATGTACTTAACTGAGATAAGCTGAATAGGAACAAGGACAGATAATTAATATTTCTTCTAACGGTTAGTAACGTTCGTTTAAGCACGTGAACTAATTATTTTGATAACAAAGCATCCTTTAAATTGGCTATGTACCTTAAAGCTTACCGAAAAAGCTCAATAGCGAAGTCGAACAATCTCTTTGTTTACTCAGACGAGGCTGCTGGTTTTATTACTGAGTATCCCTCAACGCCAGTCGCTACTCTCTAAGTCTAATACTTTTTCGAACATAAAATTCGCTCAATTTAGTAAGATCACGCCCCGAATTTTGTAGCAGATTATATTAATAATGTTAGCTGACCATGGATTTAGATCACCAACTAGCGAACGCTTCTACGAAGAGTAAATAGGCGAAATGATCGTTTCTTCAATCGTGATGAACAATTTCTTTGTAACATCAGTCGATCTGTGCGGAAAATGGATTATCAGGCTAACGAATCAAAAGGCAGGAAAACCTTACGTAAGGAGTGGTCCGATGCAACAGTCTCAAACATATTCGAAATAGTCCTGATAACCATTTATGCAACCAAATATTTATCCGTAAGAAGTGAATCAGCAACTTATCACCAGTCTGTCTAGCAATAGCAGAATAAATCTGCGCGTGCCGCTCAACCAAAGAGTCGACTTTTTCTAGATTGTCACAAAAATCCTTATTTCCAATAATTTTCTATGGAATATTTATCACAATGACTATATGCTCAATAGGATGCTATGATTAGCCTTGTTTGGTGACATTTTGATTGCTCCCTGTTCTCACACGTTATTTCCGGAAACATTGATCCATTTTTTTCATTGATTGCTGAATAGCCGATGACCGAAAGTTGAGTTACCCGCTGCTCAGAGCTACAAACATTTTAAATGGCAACATAGAAGAATGGCTGGGATGGAAAGAATACAGCTGCTTCCTAGAGAACTATTGCGATATATATATTTTTTTCTAGATGGCTGTATGTTCCGGTTTTACGGTACTCATTCACAATCATGTTCAAGGATTCGATTCTAAAATAGTGGTATTTCAGAATAAAATGAGCAGCTCTGATTTATATGGATAACATTATTGTCTCTAATGTGGTTATGTTTTGTCACGTATTTTTGATTGCTTCTATTATATCTTAGCTTGTTTTTATATGGTCATTACCAACAGCGTATATTTATTTTGTAATCAGTTGAGAAATTTATCATAAAATTGATGACGACGCTCGTCCTCTATTGATAAGCATTGCCAGATGGGTTTGGCAAAACGTTGTTTTCAATTTAAATCAACCTTACCCAAGCATGTAATCTCTTTTTCTCGTGACGCATTGGTATCACCTATTGTAATGTGTCATTTGAGTGTAAATAATGGAGAGGCAATTGGATAGCGTAGATCTCTCAAATGACTTTTCTGGCTTTAAAAGCCCACACATGATTGCCAGTCAACTCGCGGGTCAACTCAAACTAAATGACCGAGAGTTTTATGGAAGAACTCTACTCCACTATCTTTGTTTATGTATGGCGATGCAACAAGCGAGCAAGCGCAGAATGCATAGCCTAATAGGCAGCAGCAGCAGCACAGGAAACCCAGAGAGACACATTTCATCCTTCTTGGACAGATATGAGATGAGATGGATTTAGGGAGTTGGATTCAGTCATGTTAAAGCTTTGATAACGTCGAAAGGTTCATTTATCTCTGGTTATTTTTAACATAACACAGCGTTGGCCAGGAGAACCTCTGTTTCGTCCTTTTTTTTTTTCGACAGTCGCTTGGTAGTTTATTTTTCCTGTGTGAGCCCATGAATCGACTTGACATAATGCCGTACGTATGAGGCCATCAGGCGTAAAAAAATGTATGAAAAAAATGTTTCTGTGTTATATTCATAGTGTAGCAGTGACATTCGGAACAAGTGCCCGAGCTATAAGAACAGCAAAGGCATCGAGCTATAAAAAAGCGGATCGCCGAATCTTCAGAGTTCCAGATTAGTGACAGATTGACATTGACGTCGTAAACTAGCACCGTTTATTAATGAGCAGATATGCAACGCATGCAATCTAGGCAGAAAGCCATCTTTACTGAACGGGAGAAGAGCCTCGACAGCAAGGGTGCCCAGGCGGAGCCTGTTCAATGCAGGATAACCAAACGAGGAATCTGTGATAAAATATTGATTGCAAAGAAATTCTGTTGTTAGTCTAAACGCGTACGTTCAGCTTAGTGCTTAAGGAGACTCAAACTCTGATTCTCGGCTATTGCGTCAATAGGTTTGAACTACAAGATCTTCAAAGGTGGATAATCAAACACCCAGAATTAGCCAAGATATCAAGAAATAAAAGCGCCACAAAAGAAGTAGTTGACACATGTTTAAACGTTAAGATAAGAAATAATAATATCTGTTACCGGATAAGTCCTAAACCCTTTAGACAGCGTTCACAAAATGCTACTGTAGTGAAATTTACACATTTGTCCGTCAGAAACGCAATCTTTGACGGTTGCAAAGTTCTCTAACAACGTTACAGAAGCTACTGTTCGACTGTTATACGCAACCTGCAGTCCGATTAGGCCTACTGTGCATCCTTTAATATCTATACGTTTCTAATCGAAGCCTAAAAATGCATTCTTATAGTATCTCCCTTCACTTGACACAGCTTCTTCGTATATATATATATATATATATATATATATATATATAAGGCTTGTACGGGTTTCGTCGTCTTTGGAGCGCGTTTCTCTCGATGGATTAACCAAAAGTGATCCAGCCTTCAAAATCCTAATGTCATGCAGAAGCTTCTCGCCAGCAGACCTTTACAAAAATACAAACAGTATAGCTATAACAGTTAGTAGTTCAAAGAGATAAAAAGATACACATTATTCGTTACCTGTTTAATTTTTGAGCTCCTGTTCCCATCTCGCTTTGTATAGCGTCATCCCTTGTCATGCCTTGCTTCCCTATCAGTACCCACCTGTTCCCTAAGAGTCTCAGTCACCAGGTGAAGCGGCACAGGTGGACAGAAACCATTATATCTACCTAATTAACTGTTTCAACCGACAGCTGTCGTTACACCCACTGAGGGCCTCACTAATTCTGACATAGCTGTATAGCTCAAACTCCCGAGCTGCGAATGAAAGGGTCACTATCACCAACAAGTCGAGGGCAATAATTGAAAGAAGATCATTCGTCAGACTATAGTACTAGTCCAGCTCAGTTTGCAATGCGGGAATTAGCGCCCGTGCTAGAAGGTGATCTGTATAACTAGGGAAGTAGTTGTGGGAAGTGTCTGTATTATAGAAGCTGCGTGCTAAAGTAGTCTCAGTAAGATAGCGGTGAAAGTGTACCGAGTTTAAGGGGTTTTGTTTTGGAATGCTAGCAGTCGTCACTGTTTGCTCCGCATTGTAATGGGAATCTAATTCTAATTTTCCCGCGCTTAAACCTCTCCTTACAATTTTCACCCCCCTCCTTTTCACACCAAGCTTCTCAACTCTACTAAACGTTGAACGATTACGGCGCCCTCTATCGCGGCTTTAGGTGTTTTCCGCTTTACCCATCTAACATTTACTCAAGACTGTGGTCAATATTATTGCTGGGGTTTTTCTAAAAGCTTGACATACTGCTTAAGATAGAAAGGATACATGGCAGGCAAACACACAGTGGTTGTGCCTTGATTAGGGTCACGTCGTTTGCGAACGTCTTGCAAACTTCGCATTCGGATTTTTCACACCCCAGTTCCACAGCCGCGCCTTTAAAATGTATGTGTCGAGCTTCACCTTCGGTATGGTTTTAGCCAAAATACCCGACCGTCCCTATATGTTTATCTACTTTTTTCATCTTGACAGCGTCCGTCTATCGAATGAGCATATGCCATAAGCTATATATGTATATATATATATATTTATGAGGCGTATCCTTTCTTCTGATTCCTTCGCGCTCCTGTGTTGTTCCCAAGTGATTTCTAATTAGTATGACCACCCCAGTTTGTAACAGCTAACAGATACCACTCAACGCAGAAACGCGGCTCTTTCTCAGCTTCATCCTCGCCCAACTTCGCCTCTTTCCCAAAACATGGGGGAGAGGAGATCCGTTGCGAGGTGGGCTTGATGAGGCACCACAACGCGCCAGCAGCCACCGTTACTAACAGCAGCTTTCCGTTCGTTTATTGACCATTTTGACCACTGGCACTCGGCACTTAATCACTCACATCCATAGGTACGACGACCGTCGTCCAGTTAAAAGTGATTGACAATAACAAACATTGTTACTGCCGTCTTCGCCATTGGTTTTCCGTGCGCGGGACGCTTGTTTCGTTCGTTTCACAGAAAAGAAGCCGTAGCTGAGATCGAGGGATCCAGAACTGTACACGATTAAGAGTCGGTTCATGGAGGGAATAACAACAAGTCTGTGGGTTCAGGATCATTCGTTCGTCAACGATTAGCGAGGTAACCGTCGCTCATGACCACTGATACAAACCGACGAATGTTGCTATTCTCAAAACGTTGTGCCTCCTGCTCTGTGTCCGAATTAGCGAACTCTTAGCTAAGAGATACGACAAACCAGAACAGGACAGTCAGCTCAACATTAACAGTCGCGTAAGATAGACCGCGGTACTCCGTTTCAATCATAACGACGTAAATAACAGCTATAGTGACGAATAACGAAAGCTACGGATACTCAGTTATCAACTTTAGTTCGTCAGTCAGTTTCTTTCAGCTTGGCTGATACTTCTCCGAGGGCAAACTTAGCTAACAAAGCTATAAAGGGCAAAGGCGCACAACGACAACAACAACGCCAGTCGCCACAAGTTGTAGTCGTTGAAAACCAACAAAGAAGAGCAGTGACAACAAGAGAAGAGCAAGTAGTTTGGGTGCCGTAGAGAGCGCCAGCCGATTCATGCGATAGCAGCCGACGAATCACAAGCAGACTCGAGTCAAGTTGTGTTGTGTATGCCGGCCGCCACTGGTTCTGCCTGCGGTAGTCATCGAATCGAAGAGACAACGGATTTTTGCTTTTGTGTGCAGACTGTGTGTGTAGTAACATCAGCCACTCGTCTGTGTTTTTGCCCGCCACTGAGCGCGGTAGCACGCCGAGTTCACCGTCAGCCGGCCTCCGCATTCTGCTTCTCCCGTTCCCGGCGGCGGAGAGCTGACGAAAGTTGAGCGGAGTGACACGAGAGCACGATATATATATATACATGTGTGTAGATATATAGAGCAGCAGGTTTGCAGGAGCGGGTCAGTGATCCTTGGCTTGTCATTATCATCATCATCACTAAATATCGCCGCCGCTTGGGTTAGTTGTGTCAAGCCACGTACGAAAGAAGAGTGTTCGCGGCAGTAAAAACTCGACGACGAGGATTTCTCCTATTCAACTCGTTCAGTTTCAGGAAAAGAAAGAAAAAAGAAGTCCCTGTTATTGTTGACGCAATACATCACTGAGATGCTGGGACGCTTCAGCGGGACGGAACGACGACGCAATTGCTTCGTTTGATTAGTGAAAAGTGGAAGTTCATTAATTAGCATTCGGCTAGAAGAACTGAATTCATGGTGTTGTTTGGGTGTTATTAGCAATTTCGTGTTGATGCGTTTGTGTAGTGTACGATCGTTACCGCGCACAGAGTTGTCAGTACTTCGTGACGCGACTGCTGCGCGAGTGAATTTGTTTGTCTGCCTACCAATCAGAGTGTTAACGAGTCGATAAACTGGAGATGTACGATCAACCGTACGGACGGCGCAGCTATGCGCAGAGCTCAGCTCCGCCATACAACTATCACTACGAGCAGTACACGCCATCGCCAACGAATTATTCGTAAGTACACTTAATCTAGAGCGATAAAATAATGCGTAGGAAAAATACAAGTGACTATTTTATTTAGGATTAAGACTACTAGTGTTACTGTATAAAGAAGTTTTGCTCATAAGTAGCATTGTCATCCAATGTCTATTGTAGTCTTCAAACGGTTTATGGGGGCGCAACGATGTCCCCTCGTTTCACGAGTCGTAGGTGATTTGCGCAGTTAGCGAATTGAGTTAGCGACACCGGCCAGTAGATTTTGCCGACCAACTAACTATTATACGCGGAACTAGCATGCGATTATTTCTTTTTCACTTTAATTATATCCTGAGCTCTTAGTAGTGCCACATCCTCAGCTAACTCCGCCTTTGTGATTTGCCGTTTACTGCAGTAGTAGGCAGAACCGCAGAACAGTATAGAGAGACTGTCGGTGCTCTTCGGAATTTTTTCTGAGGCGAAACCCCAAGGATGTTTTTGGGAGGTCGATGTTACTGCCAGATCTGGTCTTCACAGTGGATTCACAACAGAGTCAGGGACGACCTGTCGTAGCATGCAACATCATACGTTCCGCCTAGCTCCGTCCTTCGTTACCTGGACCTTTCGGATCTGGTGACTGCTAGCGGTGCGTCTCCGAATAGGATTAGTGAAGGCACAGGGTGAAAAGTGCATTGTAGTGCTGATGCTGCTGCTGGCGCGGTCAGGTGCTTCTGGCCTGTGTAATAAGGCCAGAGTAAGTCTGTTTGTACTTAACTGGCCAAATCGCATATGGGTACATCCGCACTATGAGGACTGACTAGATATCCCCTCCCCCCCCCCCTGATTTAACCGGATAATTGAAAAACGGCTGACATGAATAGAAATTTTATCGTAGTTGATATTACTACATATATACTTGCTGTGACATTCGGCTAATAGTGATCTTTTCAGCAACATATTCTCACTTGTTGAGACTATCTATGCATTCGTGTATATATTGCTGTGGCAGAGATGCAGGTGGGTCAGAGGACGATAAGATGAAACAGCTAGTGTCTCACATGTCCTGAAAGTAGTATTGAAAGTCAACTTACGGCTGACAATTAAGAACAGCCTTAAATTCGACTCAAGAGATAGTTTACAATGTCAACTGTAGAAAAATACCTGCATATATTACACAATATGTTGTCGTATTCATAGACAATTCATGTTTTTCAGATAACTGCAACATATACTACTGACATACTAACAAGCCGGATACATCTATTGATACCAGATTATTTGCGCAGCGCCCTAGCATTATGTGGCAATGTCTGTATAGTCTGTAGAACAAGATACTGAGCTATTTATACAGAGGGCAGTCTATGCTTCATGTTCATCTAGTTTCGATTAACGATTTTAATATTTCGTCATCATGTGTACAGCAGGCCGATCATTGAGGTCAATGGTCTGTAACAGCTTAGTAAAAGAAGCACCTTTCAGAGAAGGAGTATTAATTGCGTATTCAGGCTCGAATCAAGTTATGACGCTGAACTGAAAACGCTTTAATGGAGCAGACACAGTTAAAATCAGCGTAAATGATTAAAATAAAAAAACTTTTTTATGCAAATTATATGGATCTAAGTGTGTTTACGCAAACTTTACAGTTATTACTGAACGATTTTTGATGCTTCGATAGTTTCTATATTAGTGCTGGGTTGATGTGAAAGAAGTGGCGATGCAGGCAATAAACATACAGTCGGCTTTAGTCTGTTTAGTTATTTCTGACTAGTCATCGAGTGCATGATAAACTTAATGTCGAGTGCTCATTCAACATCAGCTACTTCATGGGGGAGAGCCCTAACCGTGATGTTATTCTCGTTTATGTTAAACATCATCACCAAATTTAAAGTTGAAGATTCTCAGTGAACCGAAACACGGGCGTACCAGGTCGGTGGATCGTAAGCACGTGCGGATAGTTACCTGTTGTATAAGCTTCAATTGTTTAGCTGTCTGTTCAACAATATTTTAGTGTTTTTTATTGTTGAGGTTGTGGGTCAAGTATCGCACGTACAATTTTTACTGGGTTAACTTTCAAATAATCCCAGTGCCCTAGCATGCGGCAATTACTAACTACTCACATCAACGCAGCCCCAGAACAAGTGCATAGAAGCAGAAAAAAGGCAGTCATCACTGGCGGTAGCTACGAAAACGCACAGGCGAGGCCTTTCGTGCAACAAGTAGCAAGCAGTCTTCGACGCTTGTGCTAACAGTCGTGATTATAGTTTTAGCAGAGAACGGTATAAGTGGTAAACGCTACGAGTTCCAGGGCTTTCTCCGAAGTTGTCTGTCCTTACGCTTGGTTTTTTCAAGAGTTGCACAATACTGTCTTGTATGATATATGTCATGGTCGATCTCCTCGTAGCCTCTTCACTTCCACGCTCTCCAACGGAGCCTGTTGTCATCATTGTTTTTGTTCTTCTTACATTATTCTCACCGCAACGTACTTTCCTTTTGTTGCACACCATCTTTTATTTACTCCTCTTTTCCGTATGTGTTTCCGGACAACAATAGCAGCACCAGTTTTGTCGCTGCTGTCAGCTTGTTGTGGCGTCTGAGGCCCCTATAAACGTCTCAATGATTCCGTTGCCCATATAACTGTCCCAACCCGTCTAGACGGTCTAAGCTAACAGCATCAGCAGTTATGAAAACTCTCGGACATTTCCAGGTTTCCATTTATCTTCCATGTTTCCTTCGCTACCACCATTATTATACTATTATTGACGTTACCCTAAACCGTTCATTAGTAACATGACCCTGGTGTAGTTGGACTAATAGGCGGCAGGCATCAGCAGCAGAAGGACCTGTTAAGTTTTTCTGGCCATAACAGCTAGCCGTCCAGGCCAGAGCAGTATTAAGGCTCTGGTAAAGCTATGATTTTCACGGGGGCTGTTGCAGACCCTCTACCATTGGTAACGCTGCCGCTTAGGTCGCAATCAAGATTACTATTAGTACTGCAGCTGCTGCTGCTTTTGAATGTACTCGCCTACAGACGAAGCAACCCCACAGCCGTTGGCCTCTGGCCGTTTACTGCGTCGTACCCAGCGATGGTGGTTCTCGTAGGTGCGTTAATGATTTTGCCAAAAGTAGCAGCAGTAGTAGAAATACGGTTTCTGCTGATGTTGTTACTGAAGGCGAGACTGTAGTTGCGGTCGCGCTGATGATGTCGATTCTGCTGCTGTCGCGAGCGGCTACGATGATGATGGAGATCGCGTGTTAGCGGACCGTTTGCCTGAACTGCGGTGACCGTTTCCTTAACTCCCGTCGCCGTGTTCACTGCTATCACAGTTGCTTTGCTGCTGTCGCTATCGCTGTTCCGCTGACTCTGTTGCACGGATTGGAGAAGAGGGCGAAGACCGAGGCCAAGACACGAACACCACGGCAGAGCTACTCGAGCTGTTGTAGATTTGGCTTAGGAAAAGCGCCGCTATAAAATTGAGTTAAAAGACTGCGATGAAATAATTAGCTGGGCAACAATTACGGAGCGCCTACGCAGGAAACATTTACAACGTAGATGAAGAAAATGAAGATGGAATGGCAATAACGCGGAAGCAGAAAATGGCGACGACATAAGGCCGGGAGAAGGCAAAGCAAAGGCCGCCAAGAGAACAATAGGAGCCAACGAGAGGGTCGAGACAGGCACGCTCCGACAAACATGGCTGTGCCATTGAATATGTGGCGCTATAGTAACTCATTAGATTAATTGATGGGTGTTTATTATGTCAGTAGACATGCATCGTATTTCATTGTTGAGTATCGTAGGCGGAAATCCGTGTGTAGCTAAGCGCTATGACCAAAGCCTACTACCCTCTTTTTGAGATGGGCACCACTGATTTCTGATAATGTTTAGAGACCCCTACGCTGAATTGTTACTGTATTTTGTAATCACAATATAGTATACGAGTCATAACGCAGAAGTCGGCATGCACTGATTATAATCTGTGAACTGTATGCGTTGGTTCCGTGTACAGCATGTAACGAAGCTACATTAGATCGTTACATTAGATAGTTAGTTAGACAGGGCTTTTTTGTGGCTGAAGCGGATTGGCACTGCTATAATGGAAGATAAGTACATGGTTATTTAGGTTTGTCAGGTACGTTACGACAGCAATGGATTAGAAATACTCGCATTTTTATTTATTATGAGGTCATATACAATTACGAAGAATGAGGAGGAAGAGTTTACTTGAACTGTTCTTAACCTAGCAAAGTTAACTTAAATGAAGAGCAGCCTGAGAAGCAACATGGTCGTGGACCACATTGTTAAATTAACTATTAAGTGAGCAATCAATAATGTATCATTACTGTCATAAATAATACTGTAAGTCTACAATAATATTTAGGGTTATGATGTAGAAGTAATAAATCCTCAGGACAACACTTTTTATGCCTCTACGTTGAAGACGAAAAATTTTTTACATTATTTATGCGTTAATATGCTCTCACTATATTGCATCTATTGTGGGTGAACAGGGCGACACTTTTTATTAACATTGCCCAGCAGGCAGACACCGGTACGATATAGGCACTTTTTGCTTCATTTAGTGCTTTGCAGTTCACGTTAGCATGCGGGCGCGAAAGACTTGCTGCCGGTAACAGCAAAAGAAGTAGCTAGCGAGGGAGGCTTTAAAAAAAATATCGTCACGCGCACTCATTACTTATCGCCTGCTCTATCCATTACTGCTCTTTTATTCGTTTCACCTATCGCTACTTACTTTACTAATCAGGTGATAAGCGCTAATACATGATGCGACAATGACAACAACGACGACATGTGCCCCTGTCTTGCCACTCACCGCCATCAGCAGACTTTGCCCACCTAGGCTCATTTTAGCTAATAACATTACCTGCGGAGAAACATTAGTGGCCAGCACTTTGTGTGTTCCTTTTGAGTGCATAACACAACATAGCATTGTATATTATTGTTTAGCGGCGATGGGCGGCTTACCACTGTTTTATCACAGCCAGGTGGAGAGGTGGAAGTTAGCGGAACAAGCGTTGTCAAGGAAATTAGCTAGGCACACGTTGAGTCACGCTATTCTACTACGGTCGATGTGTATGAAACCTGTCGACTGACGTCAGGAACACCCTCAGGCGCTGACGATTTTAATAGCGGTCGCGGTAGTAGTAACTCACTGTCAGCACCACCGTCACGCAATGCACTGGTCCTATCGCAATTTTACTAAAGTTGTTAAAGTAATTCCGCTAAACAGTACTTAATCTCTGCGCTTGGTGATCGTAGTAAATGTTGGGTTCGACATCAGCATTACTATGCTTGTCCGGTATCTTCATGCCTGTCTTTTTCTGAGCATTTGCAAATGTCTACGAGGTACATTACGACATAGTCGTATGTTTCAACGACTCACAATGGACTACACACACATGATACATACAAACACTGTATATATATATCGGCGTGTATTTGCTATGATATACGTACTGATTCTGCTATACAATATTCCAGGATCAGGCAGATCACGGGAATGATAACGCTTAAAGCGGAAACGAGCATGCCCTAATTCGGGGACATTCGGATTCCCGAAAGCTCCTCCTCTTGCCGATTCTGATACCGTTGTAGCTGCAGTACCGCACCCGTAGGTTTAAGTTGACTGCAGCGGTTACTGATTGGCGCTCTCGTGTTCCGGCTGTTTCGCTTCCTATTTTTCAGACTAGGCAAACTGTGAGGGAACGAGCTTACAGATACAAGGCGCACCCTTACCGCTCTTGCGCCTTTTGGTTACGATTCTAGTAGGCGCTTCTGCTCCTACAGGGGCCGATGCCGCAGTCGCAAGCTACGGCGAATCGCTGACGAAACACCACTGCTTAAACGAGGTCTCCTACTAGGCCTAATTTTGCCTTTGCCAATAACGTGGTTGTCACGCCAACAGAGCTACACTTCTATCCTGTTTTAATGTTCAGGGCAAGCGGTTGGCGCCTAGACGCTCCGCGCTGCGTCGGATATGTAGTGACTGGACGCGAGAGTGATGTAATAGGTAGAAACAGCAGAAACAGTCAAATGCAAAATAATGCGGAGCCGTTCGATAACATATGGAACAAGTCAACAGCCATACGGACATGGCACGGAGACCTATTCGAGTCCAACGATATTATCGTACTCTGGGTCTGTCTTCTGAGCTGATCTATAGCACACAGTTTCGCTACGAGTGTGTATCTAAGATAGAGCGTGTATTTGAAGCAATAAGGTGGATAAAATCCTGCTCCAAGAGCTGACGGCTTGATTGGTGGGAACTACGTTTCAAATTGGTCGATTTATGTGCCGGGTTAAGGTGACGCGTGAAGGAGCCAAACTCAAAGTGACAATTAATCATGGAGCATTGGCACCGTGATAGAGCGAATGAGAAATGCGAAAACCGATTAGATAGAAATTAGCTAGTCAGCAGGAGTAAGTATATTTGGTTGCGCCTGATTGTGCCAATACCTGACGCAGTAGTCTACGTGAAAGTGTTGCATATTAAGTGAGAGTCTCTGACCTGTCGATTAAAATGTGTCCGTGCGTGATGTACAACGGCATGTAAGTATTATTCTGATTATTGCTTGGGCCCTAAATCAGCGTAAAATGATGGCGTAGGATAAAACAATTTAGCTAACGGGGACAAAAGCTCGAAATGGGTGTATAGACACTTTATTAGTACAGATTGTATATAATTTGTATGCGTAACTGATTGTTGGAGCAGGCTTTTCCATTCACACACGAATGGATTCTTGTAATAGAAAAAAAAAAAAAATAATTACAAATGTTCTCTAAATAAGCAGCATACCTATATTTAAGCAGTAAGTGATTTGATCGAATATGTTTTCGCATGATCTTTATTGAGATATAGATCTTCATTCATAGTTCATTTCATTAAACTCTATTATACGAACAATGAGGCCTGGCGCGAATCGGTCACAGCGGATGTTTTAATAACACGCAAGTGTCTCATAGTCCAAAGTTTCGTCGAACTATTTGTCGTCCTGGTGTTATGTGACGTTCCCGCGGCACCCGTCGCATGGCGATGAACAATTAAGTACAGCATTGGCTAGCCATCGAGATGTATAGAAACGTGCTCTAACCGCCCTAGTGATCGACGACATTTAAAATGCTGCGACATGTATCCTTGTCATTGATCGTAGGATCGAAAATGAATCAAAAAAAGAAAGAAAATGTCTGCAGATGTACGTTACCGAAACGCTCCGTACAGTACATTCCAAGCAACAAAAATACTGACATTGAACTAATAATTATTGTTGTCATCGTAATGATTATAGAGGTTTTTTTTTTTTAATACTAGCAATAATAGTTCATTTCACTATTATACAGAAATTGGTACCAGGCATGATTTATTAACTTCGGCCAAAATACATAACCACTGGCAATAGCAATTTCCGACAAAAACTTGCCTTCCCAGTTCAGAACATGCATGGACAATGTACTTCGCTCGGACAGCGCCAACGGTGAGCCCTAGGAACTGTCGACGCCAACAATAACTGTAATCGCCACTAACAAAACATTAGCGATAACAATAACGATGGTAGCGATTTGGTCGATAGAGGCAAACATCACGATTGTCACAACATGAAACACTAACGCCGAAAGAGTTTGCCATGTGTATACAGCGAACCAAAGTGATACAAATACAGAAGCTTGAATTATATATAGTGTAACTTAAAGAAGAAATTCTGCCACTGTGATTCTGCCATTTGTTGTTCTTTTTTGCGTTGTAGATAGAATCACTCTTTCAGTAAAAGCCATTCCCACTAAACAACAAAAATGCTGCGATTCCTTTTCTGCCGCCAATAAATACAATTGATTTACGAAATATTTATTATTATACGAAGGGTTCGCGGTTGAGAATGACGCAAACGTCATAAGGCAAACGAGCGAAATGGACACCGCCCTAGTTTAAATGTTGCATTGTCTGCTACGATTAAACGTTCTGCGACGCTTTCATTAAATTAAAAACGTTTATTTGTTTCTTTCTATCTTTCATATCTTATATGTCCGATTATCAGATTGTCTGGCAACGTGGATCAGGTTTTGATTCTGGTCTAACTCGTGTGGCCGGCGCTTGCAGACTGTGGATTCTGCGAGGTCACGCGTCTGTGTTGGGCAATGGGGCGTTTCATTCTGCCCCTGGTGACCGTCACGTCCTCAGCTATAGAAGCCACAGAAACAGGAACTGCGAAGTTCGCCGAACCTATCTACTTGCACTGTGGACTAACGCAATAACGCTTAGATGTCCTGCATACGAAAAACTGAAGCGGTTGCATGTAAACAATGTGATATGTCGGTAGAAGTTCTGAAAGATCATCTGTTTTTAGCTGGCCCTTTTATCGAGTCCGAACGCGTAGATGTTCCAGAATACGGAACACGCAAAACATAGCCAACTGAAATTGGCGCTTTTTGAGTACAGTGACCGTAATTATAAATTCAAAATTGACCTCGATTTGTAAATACACTGATACAGTGTGTTTCCGATGAGAGCAGTGTACCTTTTCCACCAATCCTAATGTTTCCATCTGGCCAAAATAGTAGGCATTTTTGCTTCAACATACAGATCTGTTGCAAATGTTATTGTACCCTTACAATCTGAAGGAACATTTGTGCTGCGACCCTTTTCAGAACATGATAAGCAGAACAAAAATATCTGTCAACAGCCAGTGACCTAAATGTTTGAAAGTTTTCGTCAATGCAGGAGGTTTTGCAGGAGGAATGCAGGAGACAGTTTTTTTCTCCTAAATTACCATCATCGATAACTTGGATATGCCATGTGGTCTTCAAAAAGGACATTAGTTTTTATGGCATGAAAATGTATTGAAGAAATATATTTTCTTTTGCCTTGTTCTGTAACTACTGTTGTCTCAATCGTGCGGCCTCGTGTTAATATCATATGATTACTTTAGATACTGACGTAGGCGTTTATGTGGTGGCTTGAACGGTCACTACTCTTCCGTATCAGCTCGGTCAACGTTGTCTTTACATGGTCTTATTTTGTCCGTTTCCAAGGTAAATATGGAGCGAAAAAGAGCCAAACTCTATTGGTAAACACGAGCATCGATGGTAACGATGGCAGTGTTAATTAATATGGAAAAAATTGGAAAAATAATTTCAATTTAACCAAATGATCTAAATTTATGCAAATACTTTTTGTAAAGTACGACTAAAAGATGCATTGCCATGAGAGAACACGCTATTTTCGAGATAGCTTCGGACGGCAAAACAAAGAATATATACAAATTGGTAGCCCACTCATGGTCTTCTTCATCATCTCTTAATCTTCATCATCTCTGAACTGACTGAGGTCTGACGGTATCTCTGAAACGAGCCAACGAAAAAAACAATACAGGCAACATTAAAATCATGACACAAACAACAACATCAATAATTCAATAGACGGCAAAGCATGCCCACGCGCTTTGTATCTTCCAAAGGTTAACTATTATATAGTTAGACTTTGCTGTTTGTTCTTTTACGACATATGCTGGTGCCGTCTCAGCGATGTCTCAGAGACGCATCAGAGGGACAGATAGTCCGCTCGTTGTCGCCTATTAGAGACAGACGTTCACCAACACGGAACGCTTTGCAGCTCCGGCAACGGGGACGATTCTGTCCGTTGTTTTCTGCCCACGTTTTTCTCTGTTCGCTTGTCCTGCGCCGTTCACACGTAATGACTCTTAGTAACGTGGTTGGTCCGCTTTCGATGTCCGGACCACAGCGAATTAATGGTGTGGAAACCTCACCATGCTGCGAAAAGTATGCTTCGTCCAATGCAAGCGTTCGTTTGTTCGTTCACGGTTATGGTTATGCGTCACCAGACGTATGGGTCTACTGCGTAGCTAGCTCTGCTTGTATTCGGCTGTTCTGTGCTCGAAGTGTTAAGGTTTTGCTGCCTTATGAAGCTCAACGACGTGGAATATTATAGCTGGAAGCTGACGTTCGCCTCATCGAATTTCATTAGAAACGCACGTCACGTTTAACAAAAAATTTCCTGCCACAATACTATGTTTACGTGTACCGTAGAGCGACAACATCGAGTCGAAGCGGCGGCAAACAGCTTTGCCGCCGCTTCGACTCGATGTTTTCAACTTGCTATAGACATATGCGCACGCAGCGCAATGAACAAACCTAGGTAGTCTTTTGCTTTAGTCTTTTTTCATCATGTGTTCTTCGCTGCAGTTGCCACTAACAACAAGTTTTGTTTGCTGCTTTTAATTCTTCAAGAATACTTCTGGACTTATGTAATGTACTTACGTCATAACAATTAGATCCTTTTGTTCAGAACATTATTGTAACCGCAGACACAGTGTTGTCCTTTGCTGCGTGTAGATTCGTCTCAGTCAGTCAGTCCGCTGTTTAATCAGGGGTTCCTGCTGGACATTTGCTGATTCAAAAGGTGATGGCAGTTTTCAGTGAATTCGATTTAATTCGCCTAATTTCCGCAACAACAAAGGGCAAACCCTGCTTCGAGGGCGGCAAAGTAACTGGAATACTTCAGCAAGAAAGCGCAATAGGCTGTGGAAACACACAAAGTAACATTATTTGACTGCTCTTATTCCACCGGTCGTTGCCACGCTGACCCCCGTAGCACCGACAAAAACAGCATCATAACCACTGGTCGAGGCGTGAGAAACGATATGAAACTGCTGGTTTGTAGCTATTGTCACTGACGCAGTAACTTCCTGTAAAAAGCTTTCCATTGTTGCTGTTTGAATCGCGCGCGTGCCCTCTTTTACGCACTCGACTTCTCCCTTCAGCTCTTTATCACGGTCCTCTGTCGATTTCATACACATAATCGGATAGCTATGCAGCGTCACCAAAATCGCTGTATTAACAAACTAAATAGACAAAAACATTGACTAAGGTGCGGAAGTACCACAGTACATATACTATACAAAGTGAAATAACACAAACTATAGAACTAACTGTTAAGTGCCAACTGGACTAGATCTTTTGTTGATTCGCACAACAAACGTTTATGTAGATCTTTAATTCGAAGCTGCTGTTGCTGTGGCTTAACGTTCGAAGCTAGCGAGCATTATTTGCTCGGAGTAGGACAGCTCGAGTGCCCCGTGTCGTGTCGTTGCGGTCCCCAACGGATAAGCACAGGCGACGGCCGTCAAGGCAGACTGACAAGGCTCGATGTACAGTCTTTGTCGCTTCTCCCGGCCCAACGTGATATTTGGCGTTTTTGTGGGAGCGGCATATACATGATACGTCGCCGTTTTCGTCACCAATCTGATGGCACAGCGGAAGTCATGCGAGGGCATTGTCTCACTCGAAGGAAAGTTTCTACTTTACCTAGATATTAAGAAAATAAGGGCGATCTTCTGAATAATTGGAGAAAGAACCCAGCTAGGCAAGGCTAAGTGCCGGCGAAAGATGCGAAATTCAAGCTCAAGGTGTTTACTACTTCGTAACCGAATTCACTTAACGAAAACTAGCTGGGCTATGGCAGGCCAACCACTACTCAGACAATATGCCGAATGGCACCTATGCCACCTTTTTGCTGCTTTCTCACTTTGCGACGCCACGCCGCAAAAAGTGTCTGTTGTCCCACATTAAATACGTACCAGACGTATTCTGCGTGGAGTAGACGAGCCTACTGTTGGTGCCCTTCTCGGCCTTCGCTTCTGTTGCGGTTATCATCGGCTTTGTTATTGCCTTATGTCGATTTCGGACACTTACCGATACGGCCATTGACGACAAGAAGAGAAATTGTGGTAGCGTTGCCGGTATGGCAGTTAAACAGTGAACACGACAGACAGATGTCTCCTGCGGCTTTTGTTGCGAGTTTAAAGTGATTAAAAGGAGCAACTGATAGTGCCGTATATGAGAAAGAGGTAGTGGGTAATGCGGGATGAATATTCTACTCTTTAACTGTATTCACTTATTGATGGTGAATGTAGCTAAAGAGTAAAAGGCGTACATAACAATTGCCCGTGGAGAATTCGATGCATACGTGAATACATTGTTTGGGTCATCTCGGGTCATTACACAAACGTTACCAGTACCAAACAGTTGTATCTATATATGCGTGCAGGTTTCTACAATAATACGTTAAAGGTATCACGCCGGAAAAAGCTGCTTTCATTGAATAGCGGGTATTAATACTGCACTAATCAAACTTGTTCAGAAGTAATTGCGCCATTTATATGCATTAGGAAAGCTATACTATCGGAAAATGGCTTTCAACCACATGAATAAGAGGCATATATATGTATTTGACTTAGGGTTGGACTCTTAGCGGTAATTTAAGAGTATCCTCTTTAGAAAATATTTAAGCGGATTAGCTTAGTATCCTTAGAATGTGGAACTAAAGTAGATATCTATGGCCTCTGGCTAACTCTTGGAACAACCTTTATCTGTTCCCGGGTTGCGAGCATTCTGTTTCAACGACCCTATCTTACAAAACGCGTTTAAGCCTGCTGTAACGGGGCCCCACTTGGTAGATATACAATCATTGCTAGGAGTTGAACCGTAACTAATTCAGCCCTGTGGACGAATACAAGATCATTAAGATCGGTAGACCGTTTAGAACACACTTCAAGCTAAGGCATGCTAAGTAAAAACACTCCTATGTTTTTAAGGTATTAGCATTCTAGCGCTCTCTAACAGAAAGTCGGTGTTGCGTTTTAAACACACACAACATCATCATCGTAACTCGGAAATAATATCAGGCTTTCCTAATGCCATTCAAAAAGACATTTAAAATGCAATTAAAAAACATTCCTACCACGTGGGATTAGCCGATGCTTTTGAGCTTAATTCACTGCTCTAAGCTCCGTCTTTCGGCGCTTCCATTTGGCTTTGCGTTCCAGACCACATTACTTGATTTCCATATAAACACGCTCTGTCGGATGCTGTCAGCTGAGAAAGAATTCTCTGAAATCGCCTCCCGTTTGAAGTTGTTATTAAGGGCGGCGCAAGCTATGTTCGTTCCTGATGGAGTGAGATCGGTAGCGGCCGTGCACGTGGTCTTTCGGAACAGTAGAGCTTTCTTCGCGGTAGACTGGAAAAGGGTTGCCGAACGGGCCAGAAACCATGCCCCCTGGTGCTGGATGCGCGTAAAATGAAGTGCTGTAACTTGCGTGAGAACTGAAACGGAGCAAGTGCAGCTGCCGCGAAAGAAGAGGCCGTTGGACTCCTTGCTATAGCTCAGGCTCTGCTGCTTTGGGAAAGAGTCAAAATGACTTGAGCTGGACGGCGGATGGAATGCTACGCCCACTTTATTTAATTCGAGAAGAGCTGCTTCCACACTCTAACCCAGGCTGAAGAGGAGATCGCGTAGTTCGTTCCAGGCCCTTTTGGAAGCCAGATGAGTGTAAGAACGAAAAGGTTTCAATGGGGGGAAAAGAGCACCGCAGAACTGGGAAGGTCTAGTGAATAGTCGGTGGCCAATAGAGTTTCAGCAGGCTGCAGGCGGACAAAACAGTGAAGATACCAAGAGAAGGCTAGTGGACGTCGTTGAGGTTGGATGAACGAGGGCGAACAGAGGGCTGATGTAGGGGAAGTCGAAGACGAGGCGCGCGCCATATTCTCGAGAGGATGAGAGCAAAAGAACAGAATACAGACTGAAATAAGTAGCCATGAAAATAAGAGAACGTGGGCGCGGGGTACTGGAAGATAGCGACCTAGAGAAGGCCACTCGACCATGTGGTAGGCTCTATTATCCCCTGCACGAAAGCATAATGTGATTTTATTTTAGCCAGTTGTTACTCTCTTTACGACTCCGTTTGATTTTACCTAACTGTTATACCATTACTTTTACTCCTAATGCCATGCATTGTGCATACTTTGCACTTTTGCAGTTCTCGTTGGTCCCATAAACAAACCTGCTTTCCTTGCTCATTCGATTGAGCAAACCGATCTTTATGCATCTTTCTTTTTATTTGTCATTCCTCGTGGGGAAGGAGGGCAACTATCATGACGATGACGTCGAAAACGTAGAAGGATTCGGCGCCGATGGAGAGAGGCCATAGTTGGGTTGCCGACCTTGTGCCTTTTTCGCTCGACAACACTTGTTGTTATATGAGAAGAACGTTGGAGGACTCCCAAAAGTCAGGCCACGCTTGGTGACAAAAAGGGGCCACTTTTTCGAGGGTGAGCCACGATCGCACCATACTGTAGAGTTTTCCGAAGCGTCACACCGCTGAAATGAGTCATAACGGATAGAATGAAAATGTGCGCTGAAAACTCGTCGTAAAAGCACGAAAGGGAGAACGATCGGCACTTTGGGAAGGAACTTTGGGAAGAACTTCAACTCAAATTTTATTTAATTTGAATATTTCCTAATGGATTTTTTCGGGCGGCATTCAGAGGGCGAAATGCCTTCTTTACCCAACCATTTATTTTTTCAGAAGCGACAGCAGCTACGACGCAAGCAGAAAACTTCTAAATATGCGGATGATAAATTTATGAATGATGAGCAGTACTCGATATACTTTTCCTGCGAAAAGCACTCATGAGCGCATTCATATGCTGAAGAATACGGTTAAAGACTTAGCTGTACACACTCGAGGATATGCCTTTTCCAATGTAGATTTTACAGATCAATTTTCTGGCAAACAGTTAGAATGCTCACGCTTAATACAACGAACTTATTGAGACATCAGCATTTATTGAGACATTAAAAAACGGCGTTGGATGAAGGTAATTTAAATGAATATATATAACTTGGTGTTATTCCTTTTCGCCCGTTATTTATATCTGTCAAACGTAACAATTAGTTTTATTATTATCCGATGATAAAATTGGCTTACTATGAACTTTGATTTACCTGCTTTGTAAACTCGCAATGATCGCGATTATCTTTGCGCATGTTGTCGACAGGTTTATTGGCAAAATTATATAACACAATAGAACATCGACTTATGCTAAGTTTCTCAAACTATAATTACAACTGAGGCTACCGCTGACCACGGGGGAAATCTACCAACCTTTTAGAAGCATCCAGACAAGGGTATTTTCCTTCTTGTTTCGTGGCCGGTTCGGAGAAGCACGCGCTACACGTCTCTTCGAGGCTTCTCACAAAGGAAGCTCTAGGCTACATATGATGCCTGGCAAAACAGCCGCCGCAGGCCTGAAAGAGAATATTACTACTTCATTTGTTACATAAACCATAATATGTACGGTGTGGAAGAGTATCATCCTTATACACCGTACACATTTTCATTCAATAACTTATGTATTGGTAAACGTCGATGGAAAATTATAGTTCGATACTCGGCCGCACATGAAACGTCTGCTGTTATAGAATCGATACGGTCTACATTCATGTCTTAGAGAGAAGCAAACTTTTGACAAAACATTAACAGTATCAATAATAAGACCACGAACAAATATTAATATGGCAAACGATCGTACGTCACAGGTTATTGATTAATGGCAGCGGATTATTCGGTCGGCTGGACCATTCTACGTTATACGATCAGACATTGTTAGTCATCGCGGGAAGTGTAAGATTATAGCAGACAGAACAGTTTTGCTGCTCCTTAGAGACGTACGTGCTTTCTCGGTGCCATTATTTGCTGTTTGAAAACGGAGTGTTTCCTTTTGAGTTTATTTCCTGCGCTGGCGTTGCTGTTACTGGCTTCGCTCGACAAACTGTGGTAAATAACCTAATAGCCAAGAAAAGCCAATTAATGTTTTCTACTAGAAAATCGGTAAGGACCGGTCCTCTATCTGATTACTTAGTACTAAAAAAAAACAGGAATAGAAGCGCTAAGACCAGCATCACCATTAATGGGGCGGTGCAAGGAGCATATGCTAAAATCAAGCCAATCTCACTTTCCATCGTGGTCCCTTAAGACAATGACAGTTCTAGGAGTTTTCTATGGGAACTCTGTTTTACTGATACATTAGAGCTGCGTGTTCTATTAATAATGTTAATAAGGTCAATAATGTTGGCCCTAAGCGTTTCCTCACACACTTCAGCTGTGTTCACATACACATGTGCACACGTCTCTATTTATTGACAAGTGTTACATATTGTGGTGTATCCGCACTGGAGAAGGATACATTATGGAAAGGTTACAAGAATGAGGAACCGACAGACCGGAAAGTTTGATCTCCTCTACTAGATATTGCCTAAAGCTTCTTTCTGACAAGTTAGTTGAAGAGGTTGATCGTAGCAGAGTTTTGAATTTGCCGCGAAAAGTAGAAAGAACATGAAGCGAAGACTGAAAGGTGATAGAAAGAAAAAGTGGTCTTCACAGCGGTTTGTTGTTCACGTGAACCGCACAACTGCGACACGTAATCGTCATACGTAAGTGGTCTGCTGTACTAGGGGCACACAGAAATTGACACACAGATAGCCAGGTACATCTCGCAAGGCCGCAAAGACCGGCGCCTTCCTAGTGGACGAGGCTTGTAAGTGATGTGGTGGTGATCGGTCTTTTTTACTATTTGAACTGTTCAAATTAGGCTGACGGTAATCTAGCTGAGGTTTGTTACGTAGGTTGAGCCATGTGGCCTGTTTAAGGGAATATCCAGACTCGGTTCGAGTGAATGATCCTGATAAAGACGTTCGTTTAAAAACCACCCTAAGGACCACTCAAAAACCCTAAATGACCAAATGTAACATGACATATCATACCATTGCTAATAGAATAGTGTTGTAAGTACTAGAATATCGTATTTTCCCGTAGTGTTGAGCAGCGAAGCGACCTTACCATCTGTATCTACCATTATATACTCACCGTATTTGTACTCGCATCTGATCACGCATTAAGTATCAATACATTGATCCTAATAAACAATAAAGCAAAACAAACAAAACAAGAAATAAATTATGGTTTTGTCTTATCTTTCACGTGTCGCTTTCATATGACCCTTGGCTACACATTTCCGAATTGAGTGATTTCCGATGATGAGGAAAGCCGCTCACATAAAAGTAACCAGAAAGAACCAGAAACGCGCGGATGAAACAGCGAAAAATTACTTACAGCTAAAAAAACAGGGACTTGAACGGGGTTGGAAAGAGAGGATGGCTCGGAGGAACGGACAGGAGAAGATAAGGACGTGTCCCGAAAAGAAGCGTAGAAGACCGGCGTCAAGCCGCCCATAAGCTGAAGCCAGTCGTCCAACTTGTGACAAGAGGGTTTAGCCTTGCTCCACTGGCCCTCGTTATTATCGTTCGGCCGGCTAGGTTAGCCTACCGTTCACGCTAGCCAGAAACTCTTCAGCGCGACCAGTGATTCGTCCATCCTTTCGGCACCAGCGGCGTTGGCGGCGCTACTGTCAGCTCTTCTAAGCTAGGCCGTTTCCTCAAGCTGATGTCAGGACGCATCGGTATAAGACAATGAGTGACGAATGAAACAACAGCGGTGGAATTCAAGTCCTTTTATTGAACTCAGGAAGAACCTGTTGAGGAATGCAAAATTCCGCTTGGTTTTTCGCGAGAGTCAATAATGTAAAGGAAAGCAAGGCCAAAAGAGTTTGCTCGAATAAGCTCTGTCTATTGGACAGGGCTGGGTCCGCTAGCAACCTAATCTCCATTACAAGGATGTAAGAGTAAATGTGGATACCGCTGATCGGTTTCCGCTTCTACAAGAAGACTGCCAAAGGTGATGCTTTTATAATCTTGTTCCTTCCACAAGAAAAAAGTTGCTAATGGCTATTAAACAAGACTTCGCAAGAAAGCAAATAATTAAACACCTTTCAACGAGAAGGTAGGTAATAAGGAACAAATCGAAGTGGTCAGAGCTACTGTATCAACACTGCTGCCTTCGTCGGACAGTGGCATCAGTATCGCTAAACTAGAGAAGAAAATGGCCGTGTTTATGGTGACAGTGCAAACTAGATACAGGAGAAAGACAGTCACGTTGGTTAGGAAGCGGAACGAAAATAGGGCATGAAGTAAACGATGTTTGCGACTTTTTGTTTTTTGCTCGCCGATGTTTCAACATAATCGATGCTGCGACTAATTTAATTCAACACTGTAGCCGTACACCGTGCATAAATATTTCATAAAAGTTGATCTAAATACCGAAACCTATACCGTTATTTCTCTAAACTTAACGTGATTCAAGGCAGTAGATATTCACGCCATACTCTCGTGGGCAAAAATATGTCTATATGCATATCAGGACACCAAAAAAGGATACCACTCGTGATTCTCGTTTGCATTCGTTAAGAGTGCTCCAGACGAATGCAACGCCTCACATATTAGATCTACATATTAGGCTTATCGGTGGTGGTTTCATGCGATATCGGTACCTTTAGAGGACGATGCGGAGTATCAAAACTCAGCCAACTGGTCATGTTCCGAGTATATTTTGATAATTAAGGAATACTGTTGGCAACACTGCCGCTATTGCTGCGTTATTTGAAACTGCGAGCCTCCGTGGCGCCTGCTGATGCTTCGATGGAGTATTATTTTTGTTGGCGTTCGGCAATGTTATATGATTTATCAGTGTTATCAGTGACCACCTGAAGAGAAAAAAGCTCGAAGCAGCAGACCATTCTGTTGAACTTTATCCTAATCGTCTGAGAAAATCCTAGCGATGGAAAGCTCTACAATCAAAGAGAGAGGCCGTAGCGATCTGTTTATGGAGTGGAGCGTCTTTGATAGGAAATAGGACCTGTGAGCCTTTTCTGTTAATCATCCAATGTCGTTTTATTGTCTGTTAGAATAGATTTTTAATATGAAACACTTATTATTAGAATACACAACTACTATTCACAAGCTGTATCTGCTTTAACGCTGTCATCGGCAGTTGTTCTGCCGGCACGTTTTTACGAAATCAAAATGTTTGAAAACCATTTTTCAATGTTGGCTGTAATCTTGTTCATCTTCTATTCAATTAATAGTATTCATCCATCGCTATTCACTATTTTATGTGGAGTAATTTGCTTGAAGTCTAAGCAAAATCGATTAACCTTCCCCCTAGAAATCTCCCACGCGCAATGTTGCCTGTGACACGATTCATATGCAAGAAACTTTGGCGACATTTTTATTTATTTATTGCCTCGTTTGTTATATGTAAGCGTACAATCTATGTAAGTGTATCTTGCCGGCCAGCTATAATCGTTTCGCCTAGCTAGTTTTGACGACAAGACATCGCATTTGTTGATGTCGGCGAGAACAGTCATATCGTTGTGTCAGTAAATCAACAGCGGTGGCAGTGTTCTACACTACGAGCAAAGACGAAAAATGTATATAAAATAACACGAAAGAAGAACAAGACGCGTCGCGCGTCACTGCAGTGGCTGGTAATGAACCGTCGACGATGGTCGCGCTATGCCGACAGCCATTGCTATCATCCTCACGATCATCAGGACCATCATCATCACGATCAGCCTCAGCTTCAGCAGCGACGACGGTGCCACTTTGTTCTATTATACTTTCGTGTTACCCTAGGGCGGACGCAATGAGGTCACGCAGAGAATGCGAATAGCGAGAAGAGGTATCAGCCGATGTACGAACGAACGGCGCGACAGTAACCCAAACGACGATTTGCCGTCGTCGCTTCTATGACCGACAGGCGGGTGACAATTGTACTGTTCCGGGTGGACTGCTGCAGGCTGAGTCTGTGGAAGATCACCACAAAGTACCACTAGAAGTGGACACGCACACATGTAGACAGATACATATACAGTTACGGAGCGGTGGATCATGGTTCCTGCCGAAAGAACACTGTTATGAGGACGGCAACCGGGAGGCATTCGCGATGATGCGGTGCAGACCAGAAATAGAAAAAGTGACTGTGAGAAGGGCTTCCCTTATCCGTCATCTATTCACGCTCATTCAGTAACTAAGAGATGAGGTTGTGCGTGCGCTGAGCGCCGTCGGTACTGATGTAATATGTACATACATAATATGGGTTAGTCAAATTCACTATCGCCGAGTCTTTTGTTCGTATGGCCACCGGAGTGAACAATGAACGAATAGAGAGTAAATGTCATGCGAAAGTTAACAGTTGTCGCTAATAGTTTTTTCTGGTCAGTCGGCAGGACTTAAGGAGCGGTTCACAATCATTTTGAACTTTCGTTATTATTATTATTATTAGTTATACCCGCGACGGGCATATATTAGTTTCGTCTATTAAAATTAAAAAAAATGTCCCACTTCAGTTTTCGCTTAGCTGTATATAAATAGAAATATAGATGAAAGTTGGAACGTTATAGTGAATCATGACGATAGAGAACAACGGTTTTGTTTGGAGCGTCATTAGTTTCAAATAAGCCGCGCCTAAGCTGTTATTGTAATATTCATCTAAGTAATGAGCGTTTCCTTGTTGCAATCATAACCGACGTTAAAGCTGTCTCCCGTCAGTTCGCGGTCTGTCTAGGCCCATCGCTGCATTTAGCGCGGTTCAGATAGTCAGGGGAAAGTCGTTAATCGACGGAGGGGTTCAAGTTCAAGGCTGTCACCACAGTTTTCATAATGAAGTACTGCGATTTTTTCGCTGCCGTTGACGCTTCTATTACAGATATCGTTATTAATGCGATTTAGCTATGTAGGATGAACTGTTATATAATTACTCATACGTCCTTGCCATTTTAATCTAACCTAGCTAGCGAAGAGGTGGCGAAATGGAGCAGGGTCTGGCCGCTGACGAACTGCCCCTGCCATTTTAGCTTGAAGATAATGCCAGTCAGCAGTGGTTGGTTCTAA